ACGACATTCTAATTTATTGAGATTCACCTGTATATATATATATATTTATATGAATCTACAACAGCCAGTAGGTGGCAGCGTGTAACTGTCTTATTGAGTGAGTTGAATACTTAAATCAACTGATTCGTTTAAATTGCTAAATGATTTAACTTCGCAAACGACTGTACTTATAGTCTGATTGAATCATTTACTGGTCCGTGTAACACTGAGGAACAAAACACTGTGCTGCTTGGAGACGCAGTGGTTCTGCTGTTTGTTCTATTTTCTTTTTGACGGAGCAAAATGGAATTTTGTGTCTGAAAGTTACTCAATAACTTGTTGTTTATTGTATATTTGCGATCGTGCAGATATTCAGAAAAACAGGACTCTAGTTTGTATGATTGACTAACTCTCATATCATAGGCATATGTTATAAAATAGAAACTCATTAAATGGCCATTTTTATTTTTTTTAAATAATTTTGATGACATTTCTGCCCCACTATGTGAGATGGCAGTGAGACGGGAGAGAGTGCTCAAAACTCTTCAGATAGCATAATTTAGTGGAACATTAATATAATATAGAATCATCCTCTGTAAAGAAATGAGGCGTGAACATATGAGAATTTATCTTTATCTTTCTAAATGTGAGCTCTTTCGGCCTAAAGGCTTAATGGAGCTGTTTAAAGTAGCCATGTGATCAAATTAATCGTCGCAGTCGCGATTCAATACGTGCATCCTTCTTCTATGTGAAATAATCATAAATACCAGTTTATTCTGTTGGATTATGGCCTCGAAGGTCGTAGTAGGAAGCTGTTAGCCCGGGCTGGCCCATTTAGCCCTTGCGTGCGCAGTGGAAATGTGGCTAATAATTTCTGAATGGCATAACCGAACAAATCAAACAAATGTAAACGAACAAAGGCGGGCCCCCTACAAGGCGGGGCCCATGGGCCGCAGCCCAGTCAAACCCAATGGTAAGTCCGGCCATGGATGCAACTAAGCTTTGCTTCATGTTGTAACAGCAACACCCCTGAATAAGTTCTTCACCTGTTTTTACTTGACTTGTGATGAGAAGTGTGGTAATTTATCTCAAATATGTGATGTGTTCTGTTGTTCCAGTGAATGATCCAGAGCAGAATGTACAAGAGTTGGTATACGATCTCCGCTCCCAGTGTGACGCCATCCGTGTGACTAAGACAGTGCGGCCCTACCGAGTGGTGATCTGTCCTGTCAATGAGAACAGTGCTGCCCTGGTTGTCAGTGATGGAAGGGTAATGCTGTGGGAGCTCAAAGCTCATGCCAGTACACCTTCATCCAGCCTGAGGTACAGTTATTTAAACATATCAAAGTATGAATATAATGTATCTTATTAAAATGTTCTTTAGTATCACATTGACAGTTAATACAAAAAAAGTCATAAAACCTGTTGGTAGAACTGATTTATATTGTAGAATTAGCAAATTTAAAAATAATACTATAATGAAGGCTTTGCTTACTTTGCTTAATTTAACTTCTTGGAGCATCAATTTTATGCTGTTTTAATTACCACATTTTATAATTTAATTAATCTGACGTATTTAACATGTTACTTTCTGACTCAACCAATGGTGTTAGTTTTCAGAACTGTTATTGAGAATATATTTTTTACTGATGGGATATTTGCAGTCAGTTTCTAAAAGTACAAGTCAAGAACATGCCCCATATATTAATGCTGTCAATCGGTTAAAAAAATAAACGAATTAATTACACTTTTTTTTTTTCTAACATGAAGGTTGTTAAATATACTTTTATATTACAGTCATTTCACATTCAATCTTCAAATTCATGTAGAAACAACATAAAGACAGTATATTTTTTAATATTTGTTTAATGGCATCTTTTTTTTTATGACTGAAGGCAAGTATCACTGATACCAGTACTACTGATGTCTCTGTGAAATTGCCCCCCACCCATATTTATCCATTGACTATAGCTATTCAACATTACAGTATAATTGAGAGCTATCGATTTTAACATTTATTAGACTCTATTAGACAACTTTTAAAACTGCTTCCAGCATAAACAGCTTCCAACTATGACCTTCAAGGCCATTATCAAACAGCATAAACTGGTATTTATGATTATTTCACATAGAAGAAGGACTATTGAATCACGACTGCGCCGATTGATCACATGGCTACTTTAAACAGCTCCATTAAGCCTTTAGCCCGAAAGAGCTCACATTTAGAAAGATAATGATATATTCTCATATGTTCACACCTCATTTCTTTACAGAGGATGATTCTATATTATATTAATGTTCCACTAAATTATGCGATCTGAAGAGTTTTGAGCACTCCCTCCCATCTCACTGCCATCTCACATAGTGGGGCAGAAATGTCATCAAAACTATTTAAAAAAAATAAAAATTGCCATTTAATGAGTTTCTGTTTTATAACATATGCCTATGATATGGGAGTTAGCCAATTATACGAACAATAGTCTTGTTTTTCTGAATATCTGCACGATTGCAAATATACAATAAACAACAAGTTACTGAGTAACTTTCTCCGTCTAAAAGAAAATAGAACAAACAGCAGAACCACTGTGTCTCCAAGCAGCACGGTGTTTTGTTCCTCAGTGTTAAACGGACCAGTAAATGATTCAATCAGACTATAAGTACAGTTATTTGCGAAGTTAAATCAATTAGCATTTTAAACGAATCAGTTGATTTAAGTATTCAACTCACTGAAAAGCCCCTTTCACAGAGATTCCGGAAAACACACGGATAATGTGTTCCGTGATTTGTTCTGGGATCGTTTGATTTTGGTTCATTCACACTGCCAGTGATTTTCCGGAATCTGTGCGTTCACACACATCCCATAAAGATCCCGTAAAGACACGTGACATTACGATGTGAAGTGTAATGTGACGTGTTCCGTTTCACTAAGCTGGCGAATGATCTCGGCTTCAGCGCGGATAGTGAGGAGCTCCCTGATCTCTGCTTCATTACAGTTTGCACATATTTTTTCGTTGTGAACGTTGATCTGCCTTCAAAACACCTGGTAAACGAGTCACACGATAACGTGTGTCATCACTACAACACACCCTTTACGGCATTGCTCCTGGCTTTTGTTCACACAGGGCGCGTTCCGGGACTGATCCCGGCACTGTTACCAGGTCCCCATTCCGGGAAGTGTTTGCATTCACACAGAAGGCACTACGGTAATTTTTCGGAATCAACGCACAGTATGAAAGGGGCTTCATTAAGACAGTTACTCACTGCCACCTACTGGCGGTTGAAGTTTCACATTTAAAAAAAGTAGGTTATTTCATTTTGCAATCATTTAATATTTATATTAATAGAATCTATCTATGGATTTTGTTGATAGTGATTTAATTTGTTAATAGCCAACATGTCTTTTTATTTGGATTTAATTTATTGATTAAATTTAAGAATTTGACATAAGAGGACACATATAGGCTATGACCAATGTTGCCGCTAATTGTTTTTCTTGCTGAGCAAAACTTTTCTCTATTGGGCAGACATTTCCACCACATGAGCAAAGACAAGGTAAAACTTTTAACTTGAATCAAATGGCTTTCCAACTCTGTGCGGTCCCGATGTAAGAAGTGTGCGGCTGGGCAGCTTAGAGGGAACATTGGCTATGACAATACATTTTTATAATAATATAAATATATTGGTCTTTTTTGCTCAGTGTAATTTCAGGGTTTTCAGGGTTAATTTTTGTGTATTTTGTGTTACTACATAATGATTTTCTAGCTGAGGGCATTTGTAGTGTATAGGGCCCAAACATAACCTCAAGCCCAGGGGCCCCAAGCCCCCTAAGTCCTGCCCTGGACATAAGGCCTGAGAACATCTCATCTGACCGCAGTTCACTATTGTTCTACTGAAGCTCCCTTGTCACCTGTAGCTTTTCCGCCCTCATTTGACTAGCGCCTGGCACTGAGGTGAAGTTGGAGTGCGTGACTGAACAGTCTCCCATTTGATGCGGTCGTAAAGACGTTCTGCATATAAATAAATGCTATTCTTGTCAAGAAAAAAGAGACAGAAGCAGCAGTTGTGAGTGGGGTGGCCAACCCTGGCTCCGCCCTTGCGTTTAATTGCGTTAAATATTTTTAACACGTTAAACTGATATATATATATATATATAATTTGTTTGTTTGTTTGTGAGATTTACCTACAGTACTTTTTTCTCAGTTCTGGCTTGCCTCCTTTGTATTCTCCTGTGAATTTCTGTGGGACACCTTTACATCAGAATCAAAAATGCATCCCGGATCTTTCTTTGAATACAATGATAGGTAAGATAGTCATCCTCTCACATACACACATGCATTCCTTCTGGCTTCTAGATATACCACATTTAAAGAGTCTCAAGCTTCATTCTCCTGCCTTTGACTTGAGGAGAAATTTTCAGATGGATGAACCTGAGGCCACACTCTGCTATCTGTCTTTGTCAGCAAGAGGCTTAGTTTTCCTTTTAGAAGCAAACCCTGATAACACTCATAGTCTGTGGTCTGGTTTATCTCCTGTTATGTTTTTAATCATGGGCATTAAACAGCTTTTAAGAGTGCTTTTTCTTGTGTTCTGTGCATGAGCAATGGTGGGCTTTCAGGGTTTAGAAGAAGAGTTTTAAACCTGTATGACTTTATTTTTTTCCATGGATCACAAAAAGAGTATTTTAAAGAATGCAGTGCAGTAAATGAAGACTGATGCTTTCAAATTAAAAACAGCACTATGTAAGATATGGACTATTGTTTATTATGAATTAATTTGCAATTAATTTATTATAAATTTTGCTTATCTTACAAGAATTTATGCCAATGTTTCATGTAATTTCAGCGTACATGTTCTGCCTCTTTAAAATCATTAAAAAAATATATATTTTGTCCTTTTTTTTTGTTACTGTCAAAAATCCATTTAGAATTGTAGTCATAAGCTTACACCCCCTGAGAAGTGCTCACTAACACAGATTTAGACAGATTTGTGAACAATATTTGAGAGAAATAGGCCTTTTGTGTACATAGAAAAAGTCTTAGATCTTTGAGTTCAGTTCATGAAAAATGGGGGCAAAAACAAAAGTGTTACGTTTATCATTTTGTTCAGTGTATATGAAGAGTTCATTTGCAAAAACCGATAACTGTTATTAACCGTTTTTTTAATCAGAAATCACGTTTTTTTTTTTTTATTGAGCATTACAAGTAATATCAATCAAACTGCAGTTGGGTTGTTTTGATTAAGTAATAATAACTTAAACAAATACAGGTAATTTACAAAATTAAAGTTAATTGAAAGTATGTTTTGTTTTACATATTAAAAGTTTGTTTCATAGCAAAAGCAGACAACTCCACATTTCATGTTTTAGAGTTAAAAAACACTCATTTAATCTTTGTAATCTCCTCAGATGACAATGCAGATGCCTGACAAATTGTTGTTGTTGTTGTTGTTGTCATCATAAACTGTATGGATGTGATTACACCATAGACTGTATAAAAACATGGACGTAGTGTCCGTGACGTCACCCGTAGGGTTCCGAAGATAGTTTTTGAAGGTCAAAAGTGGGCGGAGGCGGCCGTCGCCATCTCGGCAGCACGTCACCGCGTGTCACTCCCGGATAATCGAAGATGGGCAAAGAGGCGGGAGCTGGTTGTTGAAACCACGCCCACTTAGCTTTTGCAAGGTTCCGTGAAAACGTTTCAGCTTTTATTTTCCTTTTTCGCCCTAAAGAAGATATCACAGGTTCATCAAGTTCGTCGAAATTATCCATCCTCAATCACTTTTAGGCTACGTCCACACGAAGCCAGAGCTTTCCCTATCCTATCTTTTTTCCCCTAGTCTCAAGAAATATCTGCGTCCACACGAAACCA